GTATGTATGTATGTATGTAATATATATATAATACATATATATATATTTATTTGTTTATTGTTTTATTACACCATATATAGTGTACATACAGACAAGTTGATTGCCAGACTCGGCCCCATGCAGGATGTGTCTGGAGTCTCCCAGCGAGCGCAGATGCTGTCGATTAGTGGCAAGGTTCGGAATAGCAGCTTGGCTCGCGCTGTAGAAGCCTTTGAGCCGAGCGTCTTCGAAGATTCAAAACCTGCAGCCTGCGCCGAGCCAAGTCAGCCAAGTGAGTGTTTCAGGCTCTGTTGACCACCAGCTCCTGAGACTTGGCAGCACCTGGGTATCCCGACATTTTGCCACTTACCGCAGAGGAGTGCATGGCACACAGCATGCTGCAGGTCCGAGGTGGCACCAGAAGTGTTCTACTGTGACGGTGTCGATATAACCGTCCTAAGACGGTGTAGCGAGGCCCAGGCGCAACCTGCTTCACGGGTCCTGCAGCCTGTCGTTTCTTTCCTGGGCCCGACCTTGCTCTCAAGCCTGGCTTGACGTTTGTTCGAGACGTTGCGAGGCCGAATGGCTGGACATGCTGGAGCGGGGCGATGAGTCAGCCCGTGCCGGTCTTTTTTCAGGCACCGCCATGCGGCCGATGTGAAGAGGCTCTGTGCTTTGCAGCTCAGGAGTTGCCAGAGATCTCCAGGAACTCTGCGACTTCAACCGCCTTTCTCGCTTCAGACACGTGCTCCAAGAGCAGCTGTTCGGAAGTCTAGCTTTTGCGAGTCTCTGCAGTCGGGTTTTCCTTGGGTGCCCAGGCACATGATGAACGATGCGCACAGATATGCCTTTCATCGCCCCTCAGCTGGAGCCAGATACAGGCAGCGTGCCATCCATGCCGTCTCCTAAACAGATACAGAAGCGAGAGGGGAAACGGAAACAGCACTGCCGCACGAAGCGAAAAAGACCGACAGATCGAGGTTTGCGAGTGCATCTGCTTCACGAACGATGCCCCTTTACTCATCCCGGCGTTTGGCGGAGTGAAGTATGCCACTTTGACGAGATGCCAACGACAGTTTGTAGCTTTGTGGGTGTCGCATGAGGTTGGATAGGCTAACACGGGCTCGACGCCGCTGGCTGAGGTCAGTGGCTGCAGGAGGCCGTGGTGCTGTGCAAAACTGCACATGTTTTTTCCGCTGAGCATGATGAAACGGCCTCGGTGACAAAGCCGCCAAGCTCCAAGTAGATCGCTCCTCAGTCGCTCCTTGCCTTGTCCACAGGATGAGACCTTCCTCCTCATGGCCTTAGAGATCAACAATCCCGCCGCCGAAGTGCACACTCCTATCTTGCCGCTGGGAAGCTTGTGAAATGTGGAAAATTATTTCTCGAATTCTGCAGCCCGTTTCTGTGTCTTTGAGGTTGTATGGTGCCCGGGAGCAGATCCAGGCAAAGCTGGACTTGGCCAAGATGCTGGCAGGCCATTTGCTCTAGATTTGTTTGAACGAATGCAGCGCGAGCATCCACCAACGACTACATCTGTGAGAACGGTTTCAAGCACGCCTTGCTCTGGAGGAAACCCCCGTGTAGATCCGTTGGTGCTGGCCGATGTTGCGCCACGAGCGGCTCGGAGCAAGACTGATTCGAACAATTCATGCCGCCGTGAGCCAGGCTAGTTCGAGTGTGCCTCGGAACCTATGTCAGGTGCTGCATGACCGTGAGTTCCTGCTCATAGCTGCAAAGAGGCTCCGTCTTGCAGCCTTTGGCTTCGGATCAGAGTTGGCAGTGCTTGCAGTGACAGCGGTCCCTACCGGCTTCTCCATTAGAGCTAGCCGCATGGGCTTGCCAGCCTGAAGCGTCCAGGAGTGGTGCCATTTTGCAGATGGCAGCGCCCGAGCTGCAGCAGGACGCAGCATGGAACATAGGATGGCCAGCGCCTGTCCAGCAGACGGCGCTTGCGCGCTTTTTCGTTGGCTTTGGGATATAGTGCGATGTGACTGAGCACCTGTGTGTTTTGCGACAAGAGCTGAGCTGTGTGACGAAATGCTGCACTACCGTAGCAGTCCGTCAGACCGCAACCAGCAGGACTTGGAGTTGGTCAAGGCGTGCGTCATGCAGTCCGGCAGTGCACTGCGGCTACGAGCCTGAGTTGGCTATGGAAGGTTCCAGAGCATGTTCTTGCGAAATGGCTTGCTCAGCTCAGGTTTGTTGCTCCTGAGCTGAAAGCAAACAAGGATATTGCAGCTTGGCTGTGTCGAAGACGCGCCCTGAACAGAGGAGAGCAAGCGGTAGCAATGAGTGGAGCCACCGTAGAACATAGTGACATAGTGGTGCATGTGTTGCAGACATTCAGGTGTTGCGGGCTGTTGGGAACAGTGGCCTCGCCCTCGAGCATGCCGCATGGGAGCTCAAAGATGACGAAGAGGCCGGCAATGTCCCGAAGCATGTTTCTGTCTGTGCGGAGTCTCACGCGTCACTCGTTCAGGTTGTGCAGCTTGCGGTGCGATGCACTGGCCTGGCTCTAGAGTTCGCTTCGACCAGGACCGGTGGGTTGAAGAGAAAAGGCGACCCACCTCGCAGTCTATTTCAGCAGGCTGAAATCGCTTCGAGAGATTGTCATGGAGTCTGTGAGCCAAGATGGTTGCGCAATTATGCTGCTTGGCTACGTCTGGGTGGAGATGTTTTTGTGTTTTAACGTTTTTTTGTTTTTTGAGGGGGGGGGGGGTCGGCATCTTGGGGTTTCCTGAGACACTACGCTTGTTCACTGTATTTTACGGGATTCCGTGCAGGGGTAGGCAACATGGTTTTACGTATGTAATTACTATCGTAAATAACAAATAAGACACTATACTACAAAGTAGCAAAATAGTCTAATATGGTACATGCGTATTTATGTATAAGTATGTGTAGTCCTTCCGTCCTTCCTTCCTTCTTTCCTCCCTCCGCTCGTTCCTTTCTTACTTTCTTCCTTCCTTCCCCCCTCCCCCCCCCGGACCAAAAAATAGAGCAAAAGAAAGGCCCCACAAAACCCAAGCAAAAGGCCCCCCCCAAAATAGCCTTCCCATGCCTTCGATGCTGCCAATTAGCCCGGAAAGCTGCAGACGGCTTGCGTTTCCCTCTGTTGCCCAACGACGTGATTGATTGCGCTGAGATGCGCTGAGGTTCGCGGCCGAAGCACTAAAGGACGACATGGACGTAGTCAGCCGAGCTGTTCAGGTGTCAGGCCAGCGACTTCTTGACCTTGCAATAAACCGCAAGCGCATCTTTGGGCAGCCACGATAGCGTGACGTTGTGCAAGCAGTTCTGGGAAGATGCAGCATACAAGGAGCACAAAGACTGTGTAAAAGCCTTGCATGCAGGCCAGGCTCTCAAGCACGTCTCGGCGCGTCTGCGCAACTCAAGAGAGGCCGCACAGACTCCTATTGGGCAGAAGTAATTCATCGTTTCAATTAAATCTATTGCGCTCTCGATTCTGCCTGGCCCTGCGACGGGGCTATTTGCCCTGCCTCGCTTCGTCTCAGGTGGTCGTGCTAGCTGCCCGCCAGCATGCCCAATCCTTGCAGCACGCATCGCTCCCTTCCGGCAAGACTGTGCAAACCATCAGAGCTGTCGCTTCCGGCTAAACTTCTGCGATGCCTGAGTGCTTGCTGCAAGGTCAGAGCTTCGTTCAGATCTGGACACTGTAATTGATGCCGTGTCCGCGAGTTTCAAGGCAGGTCTGTGCACACAACTGTTCTTGGAGGGCAGGTCGGACCGGTTGAGTTCTTCTTCCGCTTCAGTTTGCATAGTTTGCGCCTCAGGCTTTCGAGTTTGCCAGCCCGGAACTTCGAGCTGAGCCGAAGGCAGGTTTCATGTTATCATGTCATCAGTTTATGTCTGAGTCTGAATATCGGACATTTGTGCCACAGTCGCGCAGTGCACAGCAGGTAATACGGTGTGCAGCCAAGCAGCTACTCTCCATGCATGGCATCATCGTCCGCACTGACGCTGAGCTCCTGGCTTGCATGATCTGTGATGCCCTGGCCTTACACATAGCAGAGCAGATCTAAATCCAGTCCTGAAGGCTGCCAGAAGCCATCGAGCCTTCGCTGCAGAAAGAGATGTTGAGACCTTTTCAATGCTGCGGTGAAACAAAGCCGCGAGATTCCTGTGAGGAAACCAATGTCTTGCTCGTCTCAAAGGAGCCTAAGTTGGCCATGTACATCCATGTACCGTGAAGCAACATCGAGCTGCTCTTTCCAGACTGCTTCCGCACAGCGCTCGTCAATCTCTTGTGTTCGTGCCGCAGGAGTCGGGTCAACACTTATTGGCTGCTCTTCAGACGGGACTTCTCACAACGAGGACATTTGGCTTGGCTCTCAATGCCTCTCCCCGGACTTCTCAAGAGTCTCCCGCTGCTGGAGATAAGCCAGCCGCAGGGGCTGAAATTGGATTCCCCAGGCTTGGCAGTTGTTCGCCACGATCCTCAGCTGTATCGGCGTCTGGAGGCGGCTTGAAGCTTCGGTTGGCCGCCCTGTCATGTGGCAGATGCGGCGCAGGAGCATGTCAAGGCAGACAAGGAGGTATCGTTGGAGGCCGTAAAGCGGCTTCCAGACTTGCTTCTTTGCAGCAGGCAGAGGCACAGAAACCAGCAAGGTTTGAAGCTGAAAGACATGGTGTGTAAGATAAGGTTTCCAGACATGCCCTTCCAGACTCGAAATCAGCTCGATGTCCAGGCTCCTCCTGCCGTTTCTGAGTTGGAGACTGTCCCACATAGTAGATCTGTTTCGAGAATCATTCGTCTCAGCCAGGTGGCAGCAGTGAAGCAGAAACCTGCCGCTCGGCAAAGTCGTGTGATGCGATTCAGCAGTGAATGCTGCGATGACCAGTGGTCTCTAGTGCTTGCCGAGGAGATGATCAGCTTTGTTTTGCCGACGGATGCCCTTGGCCTCGATGGGCCAGTAGATACAACTCTCATGTAGATGGTGATGGTGGCAGGACGTCAATCTTTGCCAGTGGGTGGGGCGGCACATAGCCCAGGTCACCCGCGTGCAGAGGGCCGTGGCGGCCGTGGCTCAGGACCGGGGCCGGGGTGTACACATCATGAATGAGGGCTTCAAGCATGTGCATGCATACGTACATACATGCATGCAGACACACATGTGTGGACGCAGGCATCCGTGCATGCATGCAGAGAGAGAGAGAGAGAGAGCTGTGTGTATATATATATACATACATACGTACGTACATACATATATATATATATATATATAATAGACACATACATACATACATGCACACGTTGCCTAGCACTGCTAAACCCTCTGGATGCAAGGGCAATGCATGCATGCATGCATACGTACAGACGCACACACACACATGTGCGTATATACACACATACAGTTGTTGAACGTATACACGTGTACTGTACGTACTGTATAGACATGTCATGCAGGCAGGCAGGCCGGCAGGCAGGCAGGCAGATGGGATAGGGATGTATCTATATGCATGTATGTGCACGTACGTGTGTGTATATATATATAACAATATAATACATATATATATATGTGTGTGTGTTTGAATGAAAGATTATACGTATGCATATATGCATAAATGTGGGTGTTCTTCAGGTTAGTGACAAAGCTCGCCATGTAAGTGCATGCTTGTAATTACTGTAAGTGTGAATGTGTTTGTGTATGTATGCATGCACGTATGTATGCAGGCACGGACGTGGGCATGTATCTAGGTATGTATGCTATGTCATAATATTGCATGTATGTATGTATGCATGTATGTATGTATGTATGTACGTATGTATGTATGTATGTATGTATGTATGTATGTATGTATGTATGTATGTTATTTTTAGCACTCGTCGAGTGCGAGTGCTAAAAATGTATGTATGTATGAATGCATGTATGTATGTACGTGTGTATGTGGCTGATAGTTCAGAGGTACACTGACTTGTTACACTGTACGCAGCACGTGTTGTGTAGTATCCCCATGCAGGCAAGGCATCCAGGCTATGCGTCAGTGCAAGCCAGAGGCTGAGACGAGTGATGTAAGTCTGCCTGTCGATGCTTCAGCCTCTTGCGCGGCTGAGTTCAGCAGCACTAAGGTGCTGGGGCAGTGAGCTCCGGTCGCTGCGACTACCGCAAACCCTGTCCGGTTGTACCGAAGCACTGAAGCACTGGCTATAATTTGGCGGCGGGTGGGTCAAGTCGCAGTGCTGTCGCAGCCAAGCTGCTGCCAAAGAGCTTTGACGAGATCCCAATTCCCAATCGATAAGCGTTAATCTCACTTAGATTATTTGGAACCCATCTTCACCCTTTAGAGAACGCTCTTTTGGTGCGATCCAGTTGGTGTGGGATTCTGGCTGGAGCCACGGCCCCCATCGCGTGCAGTCGAACATCGTGTGCTGCATGGGCACAGTAGGATGTGTTTGGTAGACAACATTCGCGATGTGTCCAGCTTGATGGCCGAGCCAGAACGAACCCCTTGCAACTATGCTATTTGTGAATGGATTCTGGCTACGTTTTGGAAGCCGAGCCGTCGGCCAGGAAAGAGCAGGCCTTGTGTGGCTTTGCAGATATCGACTATTGACTAAGGCGCCAGGGGCCGTCTATGTGGGTAAAGGCTTCATCAGCCCCCTGTTTGCTACGTGAATGTCTGAACTTATGTTGAAAGGTTCGTGGACATGCGACTCCGGATAGATATCGGATACTAGTTCTACTTTGCTTGCGGCGCCAGACAGCGCATTCGGGCTTCGCTCACAACTTTTTGTTCAAGCTTTCTGAGGGTTTAACCCGCAATGAGACATCAAGGATTGTTCTCGGAGGGCCCCGGCAAAATATTTCGACCAACTCGGAAAAGCATAAGCCGGCATGGGAGAGGTCCTGTTTTTGCCGGGAGACCGCCCAGCATCCTCAGAAAAGAGGCAGAGAGAACTTGGTGCTCGAGGACAGTCGAGCGAGGTCCAGTCATGAAGAGGCCCCATGCTGCCTATAGACTGTTTGTTGGCTGAAGCACCAAAGAATCTCTGCTGAAGATCCGGAGATCTCCATCCCTTAAATGGACATCGAGCAGATGGGAGTGCACATACGGATTGGCTGGCCACGCAGTGCTCCTAGCTCACGAGCAAGTAGCAGTTCCTAGCATCGTAGAGGCAGCTCTGAAGTAGTCGACGGGCGTCAATCCGGCCTGAACAGATTGCCACCTGTTCGTAACATGTTCTCGCAGGGAGGCTCTGCGCTCCGTGAGCTTTCCAATTTAGAAATGCTTCGAGCGCTTGCCGTGAGATCGCGCGATCGCTTGGGTCAGCCAAAACAGAGTCTTCGCCAGTACTTTCGAGCATCCAGGTGGGCTCTCGCTTCTATATGTGCTCATGTGCAGGAGATGCAGTTGTTTACTTTCCTACACTGGCCGGTCATTGTCGTGAGTTTCTTTGGGCTGCCTGTCCCAAGGTCGACATCCTGAACCACAGGTTCGTGGGCAAACGGCGCGCCTGTCTAAAAAGCAAACCTGCCGGCCGTGTCGACACACCTGCATTACATGCTTTGATCTTGCTTCCGAAGTTTCTTACTTGCTGGATGACTCCTGCCCATGGCTACACGTCCGCTTCCACGTGGCAAGCCGGCACATCACAAATTGGGTTTGTGTGTGCCTTCCCTGCTTCCGGCTCCAGCTGTTCCACGGTACGCTCTCAATGTGTGGGCAATCATGCTAAAGTTTGTGCTCACGGCCCAATGTTTGTGATGGTCCGTCAGCCAATGGTAGGAGGCGACTAAGACTAAGATGCAAAGAGCACTTCAGTCTTTTATTTGTCCGAGCTGATAGATAGCTCAAATCGTGGGAAGATCGGAAGCGAGAGCCTCGGCATGAGATGCTGTCTGCTCTGGCTGGCCCTGCTGCCGGGTCTAGGAGCTGCCGCTGTCGAGGCTCGTGTTTGCGCAAACTCTGCAGTGCGCGACCAGCATGTCTGTCCCTGTCTGTGTGTCTCTGTCTCTGTCTGTCTCCGTCTGTCTCTGTCTGTCTGTCTGTTTCTGCCTGTCTTTGTCTGTCTCTGTCTGTCTCTGTCTGTCTGTCTGTTTCTGCCTGTCTGCTTGCTTCTCTGTCTGTCTGTCTCTCTGTCTCTCTGTCTCTCTGTTTGTCTGTCTGTCTGTCTGTCTGTCTGTCTGTCTGTCTGTCTGTCTTTGTCTCTGTGTCTCCCCTATGTTTCCTCTGTATCTCCTGCGTGTCTCCTCTGTGTCTCCTGTGTGTCTCCTCTGCGTCTCCTCTGTGTCTCCTCTGTGTCTCCTCTGTGTCTCCTGTGTGTCTCCTCTGTGCCTCCTCTGTGTCTCTGTGTGTTTCCTCTGTGTCTCCTCTGTGTCTCCTCTGTGCCCCCTGTGTGTCTCTTCTGTGTCTCCTTTGTTCTGTGTCTCCTCTGTGTCTCCTCCTGTGTCCCCTCTGTGTCTCCTCTGTCTCTCCTCTATCTTTCCTTTGTGTCTCCTCTGTGTCTCCGTTGTGTCTCCTCTGTGTCCCCTCTGTGTCTCCTCTGTGTCTCTTCTGTGTCTCCTTTGTTCTGTGTCTCCTCTGTGTCTCCTCTGTCTCTCCTCTGTCTTTCCTTTGTCTCTCCTTTGTCTCTCTGTTTCTCTGTCTGATTGTTTCTTTGTTTCTGTGTCTCTCTGTTTCTCTGTCTCTCTGTTTGTCTCGCTTTGTCTGTCTGTCTGTCTGTCTCGCTTTGCTTGTCTGTTTGCTTGTCTGTTTGCTGTCTGTCTGTCTGTTTGTCTGTCTGTTTGTCTGTCTGTAAGTCTGTCTGTCTCTCTGTCTTACTGTTGTCTCTGTGTGATTGCCTCTCTGTCTGTCTGTTTGTTTGTCTCTGTCTGTGTGTCTCTGTCTCTGTCTGTCTCTGCTTGTCTCTGTCTGTCTGTCAAACTCTATCTGTCTTTGTCTGTCTCTGTCTGTCTGTCTGTTTCTGCCTGCGCACTACCGCCGTACCACCTTCGGTTGGCCATGTGAACACGACTCCACGTTTAGGCAAAGTCTAGGCGACTTCTGGCATCCCGCATCGGGATCATGGCTCCCGCAGGAACTAGAACAAGAAGGTGTTCGGTCTGTGTAGATCCCAGTGAAACGTCTGTGCGGAAAGGCCAGGTCATGCCACTATCAACTTGACGTAGCTTTCGATATGCATTTCGCACACCTGACCTAATAACCAAATATTCAAACTGAATGCAAATGCCGCCTGACTTTGGCATGATGCCCCTTTGCGATGCGCGGCGACTCTCGCATAGCAAAACCTTAACATCCGTCTCGTGCGACGTGGAAGTGCGTGGCGTAAGCAAGTGTCCCCAGGGTCTCTCTAGGTGTACGGTCGGCTGCGGTCAGCACTGCAGCCTCGATCGTTGCAGCTTGCGACCTTCTTCAGGCGGTCGTAGAACTGACCTCGAGCCGAGCCATCATGCATCGAACACTCTCAATGCACCATCCCAGTAAACATGCAACCCCTTGGCTTCCTCTTAACTTGCGGCCGGCTAATGCGCCCCCGGTGATGCAGACTCTGCTGGCCAACTCATCCACAACGCAAGTCGCTTGCAGTTCCAGCCCAGGTTGCACATGACGCAGCAGCATCAACGCGAGTAGTCAGAAAGGCAATTGTATTCTCAGCTGAGCCCTCTTGTACTTCACTATAGGGAGTGAATATAGAGTCAGCCCGCGTGATCCGTGATCCGTCCGGCTGAAATTTTTAGATCTCTCGTTGTGAGTTACTACACTTGTCCCCTCCTTGCGATTTTACCGGTGCAGAAATCCACGCCCAAGAAATATCAGCCCACCTCGTTTCTCACAGCGCGAGGAACAGCGAATCCAGAATGCTTTCTCACTTGGCTGCACACGAAAGTGGAATCCACGCATTCGAGCCTTTGCAGGGCGATCCCTGGTTTTCCGCCGACTACGAGCCGCAGCCTGAGTGGACACGACCTGATGCATCGGTGGGTCTTTGGACGCTGGTTGTTTTTCCTTGGGCTCTGGAGTGCGATGTGCGATTTGCTCCTCAGCATTATTCATGACACCAGCATGAAGGCCCAGAAACGGCTCAGAGTTGATATTGGTGGGCAGGGGCAGTGTTGCTTCATGAGGTACAACTACATCGAGAGTTTAGTCTGGCCCTGAGACGTATCATCTGTGTCGCTTAGGCAGGAGGTGTGAGGGAGCAGGAATGGGCTGGAAGCTACAAATTGTAGCAACAGGCCACTGCACGGAGCCTGAGGTCTTGATTGCTGTGGTGTTCTTGGAGTTGGTGTGCCGTGGATGGAAAGGGTTCACTGTATGGGGAATTGCCAAAGTCGGTCGGAAGAGTCTGCGAAGAGTCTATACAGGCGTGTAACAGTGTAGCAGATCCCAGCGTCCGGAATCAGTCCCAGATCCTGGCCTTCTTTCGTGGGTGTGAGAGTTTGGCCCGGAATTCCAGGTTTGAGGTATCTTGGCATCTCCTTTCAGCTCCTGCCCCTTGGCGAACGCAATGCTTTATGCTTTCGGGGATGCGCTGTTCAGAGCTGCATGTGGGCAGTTCTCTAAATTAGGGTCCCCTTTTGGGTTCCCAATATAGTGCGGCACCCTTAGAAAGAGGACCCTAAAAGAGACATTTGGAGAACTACCCATGTGTCTGATGATGGGCTGTCAACTGCATCAATGCTCACCGGAGCTCTTAGGCCAGAAAGTCGTTCTACTATGGCCAGCTGCATGAAGCCGCTTATGAGCCCGAGCACCGAAGCGATGATGAGCTGCCTGACTTGAGCCAGTCAGTCCAGCCAGTCAGTTGTTGCCAATCGTTTAATGCGGACGAGAGCGAGTCACCCGCCTGAACTTCAGTGGCGATGTTGTGCAACTTGAGCACACCAATCCAGCTTTTTTGCATCATGCATGTTCAGGTGCCTGACTTGAATGGCTCTTTTTCGCGAACACATTTGACGCTGTTTGGCTGTAGGTGTCCTGTGACAGATTCTCAGTCCTGGGAGTTCCCCTCAGTCAGTGGAGCACCCCAACTGTGACGCATGCATTCATGCATGCGCAGCCTCTCGTGCGGTCGGGCAGTCGTGTTTCTGGATTTGCCGCCAGCATGGCGGCGGACTGTTGCCTGCAAGGTCAGGGAGAATATCACACGTGCGCCTGTACCAGGACGTTCTGAGAGCACACGTCACCTGATAAGCGCAGAAACCAGACCTTGTCCGGCGCGAGACGGAACGAGGAGTTCGCCAATCGCATGAGCAGCGAGTTCATGTCCTTGGGCTTTTTAGCCTTCATGATTTTTTGCCAGGGCCTAAGTCGAAGACCCTAGATCTGCTGTGATTTGAATTCAGAGCCAGCCGGCTTGCTCGGGCTGCCCTAAGGTTCCAACCAGCTAGGCGGTTTCGATTTCATGGCGTCGACGCTGCACTCATGCAGCTACCACGAGTACAGTCTCCGGGTGGCAATGAACTCGGCTTCAGTGCCTTCAGGATTGGCAGTAGATCTAAGGCGATGTCTTCGGTCACGGCCATGACCACAGCGACAACTCGTCAGGCTCCTCGCCGTGGAAGAGCTCTCAATATCACCGCGGTACAAGTTTGTCAAGAACCTGCTGTGAACGCTAAACTCCGAAAGTCTCCATCTGACACAACTCAAGTTCTTCCCCTGTGCCTAGGTTCGACCTTGCGGCGACTAGCTGGAGACGACTGCACCCCTTTGCCTCCGACTCCACAGGCACGATGCACTTAGTTATCCTGCAGGGAGCCTGTCCTTGCAAGCTGATTCTAAGGAGTGGGTTCACTTGGTAGCGTCTTGAATGCAACCTGTGCCGTCTGTCGGATGTATAATTATGAGCAATTTCGTTGCAAACACACACACACTTTTGTTTTGTTCTCGCTCCGAGACTTGTCAAACAGAAACGCAGACTGAGGAGCTGGTGCACGTGCAGTTGTTCTGTGGACGCTTGTCTGCACCAACCCCCATGCTGATTGCTGATACATGCGATCTGCAAGCTGTCGACGCTTTTCGTCAGTTATGGTTGCAAGCGCTTCCGCAGGCATGATGATGTATTATTTGCTCGTCTTTGGCATTGTTCGTGGTGCTGTAGCTTGCCCGCATGATTGAAAGATCATAGAACTCCGAGTCTCCTCTTCGACCCAAGGCCAAAGATTTGCATAAGGTTTAACAGATGTCTTTTGAGAAGGCTTGGACTTGGATCTGAATGAGCGTCTAACTACACTCCGGAAGCCTCTGCAAAATGCCCCGCTCCTTGATCTCTGTCGGCTGAGGTGCAGAAGCTCAAGAGCCTGGAGCGACTGCGCCTTCGAAGGATCAGCAACAAGGCTGTGCACTTTGGCTTGCGTTTACAAAAACCTGAGAGACATTGGACTTGGAAGGAGGGCCAAAGCTTGGCTTTTTCAGACCTGAGCCTGGGAGTCTCAGGTATCGAAGTCCATCTACAGCGCTACAAGCAACATCCAGAGATGAAGAGCTACGAGAGTATGTCCCTTGTTCTGAGCAAGTAATGCCTGTTGATGCGGCCAACGCTTGCACGAACCCGTGTGGTGGCCTGGCAGAAGCTGTGAGTGTTGTCGCCCGGCCAAGCTTTTGGCAGCTCGAGATGCATCCGAGTTATGTCTGCGGGAGTACTTCATCCACAAAGTCCTGCTCTGGAGATACAGCCGCCGCGGGTCATGCAGTGGGAGTAAGTACTGCCATGTGCCTGCACAATCCTTGCTGTCTCAAGCCCTTCCAGTTGAGGTCCCAGGATCTACGCCAATCTGAAAGCCAAGCTGGGCATTTCTCCTGATGCTCCGGAGGCATGCCTTCAAGAATCCGACAAGGGTGCTGTTTGCTGCCAGAAGATCCAGACGATCAGGCGACCGTAGAAGAGAAAGAGCTGATCGACAAACAGATCAAAGAGATGATGGACGACTGCTTTGCCTTCAGCTCTTATCTGGCCACTTGCATGCCTTAGGCAGGCCGCAAGCAAGTGTGGCTGTACCATTGATCGTGGGTATTCAACGCATAGCGGGCAAACTGCTTCTGTCACCCCAAAAAAGGCATTGAACGTCGAGAAGGGGGTCAAGGACTCCATCGAGCTGCATGCTGGCCCAGCAGTTGCAACAAGCTGGTCACCGGTGTCTGTTCACCGAGAGTCGCAGTCATAGGAGCATAGCACACGTCAAACTCGCGGGCGGTGGCATCTTTGAAGAGTCCCTAGTGGAATTCGGGGGAGTTGCTGTCAACCGATTGTTGGCGCTGTGTGAGAGTCCCACTTGCCGATTCTGCAAGACTAAACATACTTAAAGAGTTGGGCGGCAGGAATGTGTGGAGGCGGGACAGGGGCCAAGGTAGGGGTTGTTCCCCCAGATAGAAAAGAATATGAAAGCAGAAGATGTGCTTCGCCAGATTTTTTGGCATCTGTCACCGTTAAGAAGGTCCTTTCGCTTTGGTTTCGCCCTCGCCCACTACAGGATGGATTCTTGGGACACGTTCTCTCCTTTTTGGTATATGTGTTTCGACCTGTTGTCGTCGGAGTGAATGACGACTTCCCGGGCAGGCAGGAACAACAATCAGCAATGAGAGTTCCGTGACTCAGGAATGTGGCGAGTTTTATTCTGTTCATCCTGCTTGTATTGATGTGTGGGGTCAAGGCCCCTGCGCTTTACCATCAAGGATATCCCACCAGGACAAGGTTTGACAACCCCGTGATTCTGCAAGAAATCTGTTCTTCTCAGGCACGTGGATTGCCATCATCATTCTTTTCAGCGAAGCTCGGCAGGGACTCGCGATTGGTTGGAGCAGGTTTGGTGGTCCCATTTTTGCTTTCGCGTCTTCCTCGCAAGTTGGTGAATAAGCCCTTCGTTTGCCAATCTGCATTTGCTTCGTGTGCATAGGTCTTCTCTCATTCAGGATGCAGAGCCTTACTCCTCTGCTGGCAGTGGGCATCTGAGGCGCTGGCGACGCTGTACAGGTTCGCGCAAGTGAACATTCTCGACATGATGTCCCCTGGCACACAGCCATGCCGGGTCATGCCGTTCCAGCGTTCCAGAGCCACAAACCCCAAGGCTTTTCTTGCCTGGGTTTGCTGGTCACTCCAGCATCTGGTGGGTCGAAGGAATAAGCAGGGCCAAGGATCTTTTGCACAAGGCCCTCAATATCCTGAAGCACTTCCTTAATCCTTGTGTTTTGCCAACATCCGTTTGTGAGATACAAACCTTAACCGCCTTAACCTTCTGTGTCAGATGGCCACCGTTCAAGGCTCAAGGTAGTTGAAGTGGATCCCACATGTGTTTGCTCTTCAGTATGGAAGATACTTGTTCTCCGAGATCTCCGAGTGTGTCTCAGGAATCATCACAGGGGGAGTGGATTTCTGAGGTAGTTGACAATCTAGGAAAACCGTGACCTTTGTCAATCCCGTAAGGCCACTTTTCGTCGCGCTGGCACTGCTGCTGCTGTCGCTTGTGACAAGCCAGTGTAGTGAGCGCGTGCAGAGTATGTTCCGCTTGAGGTAGGGAGGGAGTGCATGCGAGTGCATGTTGTCACTGCTGCCACTTCTGTGGATCCCAGGCTACTCATGGTCTTGCTGACCAAGCAACTCTGGCGCACCTAAGCAGATCTTGATACTGCGGAGTTTTGGTGGCATCATCAAGGTGGCGGCTCCGCGCCATCCAGGAGCACAGCCAGAGTTGGTTGCAGGATGCTCTGAACTTCCCATCGGAGTCGACAGACGGTGCTCCGACGCAAATCAACCTTGACCAGATTGCAATGCTGCTAGTGCGAAAGTCAGCCGTTAACAGCATGTCTTGTCGACCGTGGTGCTCGTCTGGGATGTAGCAACTCGTATGCAGCTTGCAGCTTGCTATGCCTTTAGAACGTGCCTTTAGATTTCCTTTCCGCTCAGGCCGCTCAGGCGTACGTACTCGCACGGTCATCCCCAGAGTGACAACATTATCAGCATCACCATCAAACTTCGGCACTCCGGCGGCTTGACAGCAAACCGCATCAAGGACTGTCGAACTAGGCGTGAGTTGAAGACTCTAACGCTTTCGATTGGTGCTGAATGCATGTGCAGCTCTCAACCAAGCGAAGACATGTAACTGCAACGACGGACCTGCCGCCCAGGCTGAGGAAAGTGTGATCGGCGCCACCCTGAAGGGACGGGGCCGATTTTCCCCTGAGATGTCTCTCGGCATTGAAGAAGCTCTAGACTGTTGCAGCAGGATGCGTTGTCGACTGAGGTATATCAATCGTTTCCTGCAGATATTCCTGCCCCTTGGAGAACTTTGGATGGCTTGTTGTTGCAGCATTGTGGTCGGCCGATGCTCGGTGCACACCGAGGTTTGTGATCTCCTACACGTTCTCACGGTCTGTCGTCGAGTTCAACGCATGGACGAGGCGACGGTCGCAACTGCCAAAACACACAGGAACCTCGTGAAGTTCAAGACATTCGTTCTACGCAGAAGCCTTCGTCCGAACAGACCTGGAAAGCAGTTTGACAACCTGAACCTGTAGTATAAACATGGCGATTGTCACCTTTTTTTCGGGCTCTTATGAGCAGTCGTGCCCGTGCCGACCGAGACGAAACTCGTCGGAGTTTGGTTCTCTGGCTTGGCTTGAACCGATCCGTTTCGACTTCTGCCTCGGGCCGCAGATCTCCTCCACGTCTGTCGGCTTTGGCCCCTTCGTATGCCACAGTAGACCAACTTCCGAGCTACAGTTTGTAACTCAACCTTGACCTGGAAGCTGCAGCTGTCCGGCATTTTGGAATATGAGTTGCCGTATCATGCCCTGTCTTGCCAGGCACTTCGAGTTTACGCTTCTACTCGCTGCCGGATTTGTGATCCTCTACCTGCTACTTCTGTGCCTCGAAGCAGCTTACTTTGCTTGGGGTCTCAAACGAGTAGGGGCAGTACTGGAAGTGCTTGTCCAGTCAAGTCTTTCCGGCTTGGCTTCTCTCGAATTCCAGGTATCTGCTGCCATCCTATGTGCCTGTGTTCTTGCAGCTGATGGCGCTTCCTCCGTTTCTAGATGATGATCCGTGGCAGTGGGAAGCAGCAGTTAAACAGAACATCGTGAAGACGCTTATGCACTCGGACGGTTGTCATTACATGCCATGTCATGTTGCTGGGCATGCGGCCTTAAGGACAACTTGAAAGTGTTTCTCAGCGTATTGGACGATGATTTTGCATTGAGAGCTCAATCTGCACTTCATCGGTTTTTTGCACACGAACAGTCTAGTTGGTTAGCGTAATGGGTTTCATGAGCCAGGGCACAGTTTCCACGCAGTTTGGTCTCTGCTTAGCAGACGAGCTTTAGAGCCTGGCCAGTTGGCTGGAAGTTGTCATGCCAGCTTGCAACTTGCTAGGATATGTTGTGCATGACGAGCACTCCAGCAGACGTCGAGCAAGCACCTCTTCAATGCAAGGACTTAGACATGGGTTTGTTCTCGAGTGATATATACCACCCTGCGCCGGCTGTTTGATTTTCATCCCGCAGGAGCTTCTCCACACGTCGTCAGGCGTCGAGCGAGCAGCTCGTCTTCCCTGGCAGGACTCGACATAGGCATGCCCAGCTCGGTGAGGCTCAGCCCAAGCCCATGTAGCTCGAGTGCAGCAAGCGGCCCAGCCAAGCAGAGCCTTCCACTGCTCGCCGCAGGAGCTTCTTCTTCATCAGCGGCATTTCGATTGCCCAGGGCCGGAGCATCATGCCATTTGCCAGGGGTAGCATGATTCAATCCGAGCAACAGGTGATAAGGGCTAACACGGCGACGCTTTGTTTGCAGGCGGCTTCTGGTCACATGACGGCGCGGAATGATACCCTGGTCGTCGTTTCAGCGCCTTAGCCGCCTTATGCTGCCGTACTCGTAGCCGTTGTGTTAGTGGGCTCGTCATACTGTGCTCCCCAAATTGGTTTCTTCATTTCTTCGTGCTGGAAGAAGCATCTCCGCCGCCTCAGCCGTCTTGATTTGGTCAGGAGCTCGTCAGCATCCTTGAGTCTTGTGACGATGTGCGCGATCTTCGAGCCTTTGTGGCAGCGTTGATAGAGTTCGTAAACATTCGAAGTGAGTTGCTCACAGCGTGTGCAGCGAGGCGGACTGCGCGAGATTCTGCGGCGCCAGCTGCCAGAAGATGTCTCTCTGCCAGCAGCGTCCCCGTCCCCACCGGCGGATGTGGACGTTCCAATTACTGTGGATCCTTGGCTCTCTTTTCTGAAGGTCCAGAGAGGATTCAATGGACAATCTGCAAGCCCGCACTGCAGAGCGACCTGTTGCGCCATTGCAACCATTGCCAGGAGAGGGCGTGATGGCACCTCAGGCAGTCATGGCGTGGCGAACCGGACGGCACTATCAGTGGATTTGAGAGCATCCGCTTGTCAGGTCTGGCTGTTGCTGAGATGTGCTCAGGATTCCGGCCTCTTGGTTGGAGAATGCTGCAATCTTGAGAGTGTAGCACGTAGCATGTCATGTGACGCTGCTGGCATGCGTGGTCTCTTGAGATCGAGGAGTGTCAAGATGGCAATTCCTAACTGGTTAATGGAACAGTGACGTACAGCCACAACTTGTACAGATGCACAGACAAAAAGCCGTGGCAACCTGTGCTGCAGCTCACTCGATGCTTTTAGAGTAAAGTAGCTGAATCCATCTGCTGCTTGCTGTCATTCTTAGATCCCTTGACACGAGCTGTATTGCAACTGCGCGGCGTGTCATAACCAAATCGCTTCGGCTGTATCGTGGGCAGCAGAAAACACTCAGCTTCACCGAGTGTGAGAGCACTTGCAAAGGCGACCCATCAGCCACTACCCAAGGCTTAAAGCCGTTGTGGTTGCGGCGTGCTGAAAGCGCTCCTGTGTTGGTGACTCACCAGGATGACGTGCCTTTCAACAAAAGGTTTCTCAACGTTTGCCACTGGGTGGCTGCTGTTGCGAGTTTTTAAGCATGGACCGCATCGCAGCCACGAGCGCGAGATAGCTTAGCACCCGCAGCTGCGCTATAATGGCAGCAGCTGGTGACAGAAAGGTGCTAAGTTTTTCCCAACACCGGGGACGCCGGCGACGCTGACGCGTTGCGGAGAGGAGACGCTGAAAGTGCTCGTCATGGTGGTCCAGGTGGCCTCTCTGAATTTCTGTCAATTGTGGAAACGCTTGATGATAGCCAGGCGAAAAAAGCGGCAGTCTTCTTTCTCCCCACCTCGTGGTCTATCGTTCTTCTCTCGTTTTGACATGAGCAGTGCAGAGCACTTGGTAGTCGTGGTTCGACCTCTTGTAAAGAGTCGGCCGGGAATTACAAAGCACAGCGTTCGCCATGGCCGCCATGGTTGCCACGGAGCTTCAACTGTGAAATGGCCACTACTGTACCATGTTGTACAAGTCACTAGTCAGGGCACCTTTTGCTGCTGTTGTTGGGCTGTGTCGCAGAGGGTTTTGTGGCTTTCTCGCTCAGGAAGTCAAGATTCAATGGTGTGGAGGCTGAGGCTATGGCAAGCATGCCAAGGCAGTGACCGAATGTGCTCATTCAGACTTCCTCTTGAGACATGCCAGGCAACTGAAGAGCTGATCCTGAGCTGGTTCCCAAAAGGCCCCACTCTAGGAGTTGGTGGATTCAGTATACGAAGTATACGATGCACCTATGCTTGAAGACAGCTGAGCGTCTAAGGTGTCAAGGTCGTGCAGGCCCGCGATCCAGGAACCACTGGCAATTTCGAAATCACTGCAACTTGTATGCATGAAGGCGATGATAGGCAGCAATGCTGCGCTTTGCACTGATCCGGGTTGCGTCGGAGATCGCGTCGAACCTGCTGCGACCAGCAAAGGTGAATGGAAGGTTGGTCCATTCCAAGAAGACGCAAAGTCAGGGCTTCTTTGAAGCAGCTCCCCAGGCGTTGCTCCGAAATCAAGCCACCATCGAGAAACAGCTCTTTCTCATAAGCCTTCGCTTGCAGGCCCGTCAAGATGAGGTGAAAGCCGAGATTGCCAAAGAAGTTGAGGCTTTCTGTGCTTGAGACTGATCTCGACACGTGACACGCTGCTGATGTTGCTGAAGGTTCTCGGGGACGCAGCGCCCGCGTCGACGGGTGACTTCAAGGTGCCATGGCCGCAGCGTCAATCGACAAGTTTCGGCGATCACCACGAGAGTTGAACGGACATGGGCGACTTTGCAAGTAGCACCCGGCAGCGGCCGCTCTGCCATCTGCTTCAAACATGTGTGGCTTTCTGTCGGTAGCCAAGGATGGAAAAGAAACTTCAAAAGGAGGAGGATGCGCCATCCAATAAGGAAGAACGCGCGGTCCGCGAGATTTTTCGGCAATCTGTTGCCGGTATCGAACACCACTGTTGTCCAGTAGGCCCTCTTCAGAGAATGCTTGGCTCGGAGGGCCGAATGAGGCCTGATGCCCATGTCAGCAAAGCCCCGTGAATGATGCAAAGCTGCTGTGAGACAGCTGCAATGCAGACAACGGACATGACATGGTCTATCGGAGCGACATGTAACCTTGCCGACAGTGACACATTAGAGACAAACAGGCGTGCCAGTGAGAACAATTTTTGCCTGAATGTTGCGAAGCCGCCTGATCCAAGACAGCCCTCGTTGCAGCCGAGAGAAGCAGACACTTGTATTCGAAGTGCAGGTTGTGGGCCCACCTTCGCGGGTCCTCTCTATTGTTGGCTCAAGCTTCCCTCGAAGTCGGCGAGCGCAAAGCCGCAAAACCTTCCTACAAGCTCCTTCACCATCTCAGAGGGGATGTTGAGGCCAGTCAACTCGTGAAATCAGCTGAGCTGTAGGGCGCTAGGCAAGGGGCCACCGTCCACCTCCTGCCCCACCCTACACCCACTGACAGCTGAAACACTTTGGCTGATTGCACGAAACGTCGCTCCCAGCCAGACGAGACAGAACATCAGCACAAGAACATCCAAAGCCGATGGGAAGTGCTCAAGAGCCTGTCGAGCAAGGCCTGGTTGTTAAGGAGTAGTATACTGCCAGGACAGATGTCATGGTGTTTAGTGTTCTCTGTCGTACTAATGGGAGCCTTGTGAATTGCACCTCAGACCACGGCAGCCAGACGCCCAAGCGACCAGGCTTGGTTGTCAGCGATCCGTGTTACAGACGCTACCTGTCGGTTGCACACTGCTGAGGATCGCTGCGGAGCCGATCAGCGAAGACGTCGCCAGGTGCTTCTCCTGCAGGCGACGGGGATCGGACATGTGCAGCTGAATTTGGTAATTCGTCAGAATCGGCTTCTTTGCAGAATCATGGCAGCCACAAATGAAACTTGATAGGTCTGCTGCATTCTCGTGAAAAGGTCTTTTCGTGGCCTCGGACATCATTGCCCGTCTGCCGGAAAGGCACAAACTGGACCTCCAGGTCAGTGAGACGAGGAGAATGTGAGTCGGGTGCCACGAGCCCATTATGCGGTCCTCTTGCAGGTGCAAATGCACCGCCAAACAGACGAATCTGCGGAAATGCTGGCGCTGTCACGATGTTTGTTGTCGGACGACGCGCAGCCAGAGCCGCTGGGGATGTTACCATATTGTGGGCTTGATGCCCAGGGTCTAAGTGCAAGTTGAGCACCGAGGGGCTGGTCCGGGACGACCTGGCTGAGCATCGTCCGAAAGGAGCTTGTGGACCCTTGGGCGAAGCTTGAGCGATAGTTCCGCTTCGCCATTCCATGTGCATGGTCTTTCGTTTTTACTACAGCTGAGGAGCTGGATGACCGTTTGTCACGGCAGCTGCAGCGCATCCAAAGCCAGAGCGATCGCGTAATGGAGGTCGTGCTGACCTCACTCGTGACTTGCCTCGCTATGGAGTACAGGCAGCCCCATCACTTATTTCTATTTCATTGCGAATCACTGCATATCCACAGCCCACTGCTTCCCGAGGAGGAGAAAGTAGCACAGGTCATCTCCAATCAGCTTCTTGGCCACGAGAGATGCGCGTGCACAGGGAAGTTGACCCTTGAGCTACATGCGCCTGGTTGTGAGGCCCATGATGGAGTGGCGTTTGGCCGAACTCGGCGCAAGCGTCAAAGGCCTGCAGGAGCAGCTGGAGACCCAGGCGGGCTTTGTGATCATACTCACGCTGCTAGTCTGTAGGAACGATGGCTCGTCGTCAATCTAGTCTGCGGCCTTTTGCCGTCTTTTGTAAACATGGCTTCCAGGCATGTCGGACAGATGCTACAGAGGCACGGTTGCAGAGGCAACTTCAAACGGGTCAAGGGGGATGCACGTGCAGTTGGGTGCGGCTGGTTTCGGCGGCCACAGCGCCTGCCAACTTTGCAGCTTTGCTCAGGTGGAAAACAACCATAGAGTCGGATATGCAAAACCTCACCGTGGGAGCTCCTGTCCCGGTGCAGGCAGTCTCTTTCGCGCTCTGAAAATCGCTCGTATAGACTTGGCTGCTCGCTTCGAAGGCCGAACCAGAACCAGTCCCACGGAGCTTGGCAACTGGGGCTGCAAGCACGTGGTGCACCTAACCGATCCGTTTGTCGGAGCCCGAGTTTTCGTGCTCAGGATGCAGAAGCTTGCCGTGCTGCCGTGGTGGCGGAACTGCGCGGGAGCACAGGCCACAGCACAGCAGCACGCCCTTTCCCTTGGATCCGTGCATTACACAGGTCAAACAGCATCTCGAGCATCTTCTGTGGATCTCAAGCTTGCCGGTGTCATGTGATGCCCCCGATCAGGTGGCCCCCAGGGCGTGCAGGCCGTGCAGGAGTCAGGCTCGGCCGGGCTTCACCTCGAGGACATTGCCGCCGCGGCTACGCGCGCCTTCGGTGCCTCGACAAGAACAGGCTTCCCATGATGTTGTGAAGTAGGCGCGATGTCTGGCAGGTGTCGAATTCTGCTCAACAATAATTGAATAAGCTATTTAACAGAATCTTCGTGCTGTTGCAAGGAAGGAACCTTCGATAGCATGTTTCTTGGATTGTTGCTGGGTTGAGAGGCTGCGCAGAAACGAGTTTCATGCCCTTAGGAGCGGCGTGTTCAAACAAACGGCTACCAAGATTAATTTTGTGTTGAAAGCTGTGGCATTGCAGGATAAGGGATGTCCGCAAGGATAGCTTCTGCATGCGACATAGCTGCTGCATTGCCATTGCAAGCTCGACACCGAGAGGTATGAACACACAACGTGTTCCAAGCATCCAGGTAATTAGTTAGCCACTGTGTGACTCTTCGTTGGATGTCGGCGCACCCCTCCGCCGAGGAGCAGAAACTGCAACGCTGAAGGATCAGATCGCTGCGTTACAGGAGGTGCAGGACGCCCTGAGGCAGAGCGCCGGCCCAAAATCTAGAAGGCACTTCTGTGGAGTAACTTTCTTGTGGAACTCGTGAGGTGCGAAGTCACTCGACTGGCCGACCGACCAGGGATGCAGGCGTTTCTGTGTCTGGGATTTCGCAACTTTTGCTGGGATAACGAAACACTGACACGACAGCAAGCCAGCGGCGGGTGTGGAGGTGCCAGAATTAAAGCTTCTATGGTGCAGTGCGCGAGCACGAGAAATTGACACCCGCTACAATTCATAGAACCGCGCAGACTAGGCATCTGGGCCCGACAGCAAGTGGTTGGCCAGGCTTTGTGTTTCAAAACCGTTTCTGGTGTCAGGTCGATGCAAGCAGCGCCCCTTCTCTGAGTGACCGGGTGGAGAGGGCGGAAGCAGCCGCTTCAAGCCAGCAACGGGAAGAGCTGGAGGCATCAGTTGCAGAGGTGACTGAGGTTTCAAGACAGGCAGGGCCGGCAGAAGGTGCTAGCGCGAAGGAAGCCCAGAACCTTCCTGGCCTGGTCCTGAAGGCCTCAGCTTCAGAGGCACTGGGACTGGAGCAGGTCCAAGCCCGCATGGAGCAGCTCGAAGCTTCCCTGGAAGGCCTTTCGAAAGCGATACCAATCATGGAGTTCCAGGATTTGCAGGCCGAGGTTTGCAGCTCAAAGGGGCGGATCGACAGCATCGAAACGGCGGGTTCCTCAAGTTTGGCGCGGGTGCAAGAGCTCGTAGCTGCAATGGATGGTCTCAAGAACAACATAGAGGACTTGAGAGCGACCACCGCTAATCCTGCCGTGGACATGGTCGACATTCGAACGTCGATGCTGCGTCTTAAGGCACGCGTGGATCACTTTGAGTCTCAGCTGCAGCCCGCCAAAGTGCGATCAGCCATCGCGCGTGTTGACCACATGGAAGCTGCTAGCGCTGCCTGCCAGGCTCAACTGCAGCAGCTCTCAGGTTCACTCGAAGATACCAAGGAAGGTATGCAAGGGTGGAGAACTACTGCAGACGAGGCGCTGGTCGGACTTGCAAACGAACTGCACGCCTGTCGAGATCGAGTGGAAACAATAGAGGCTGCCCACTCGGAGGCCCAGAAAGAGATGCACCTGCTTGAAACTGCCTTGAACGAAGTGAAAGAGTCCAGACAGCCGCACCTGACAACCGAGTTCGGTGAAGATTGCCGAGCAGCATTCCAAAGCATTGGTCAACACACGGATGAACTGCAAGCCATCAAACGGCAGCTCGGAAGTTTGCAGAGCGAGATAGAAGCCAACAGGCTGAATGACATCAACGGTCGTGTCGAGCAGGTGGAGGCTGCAAGCGCAGCGGGTAACACGCAGCTGCAGGAGCTTGCAGCATCGATTGCTGGCATCCACAAGTCTGTAAAGCAGCTGGAAGGTGTTGTGCGCCCACTAGATGCAGAGCTCCCGGCAGCAGTTGAGGCCATGAGGAAGCAGATCGATAATGTGGAGTCGATGGAAGCCAGCAGGCTGAATGACATCAGTGGCCGCGTCGAGAATGTGGCCTCTGAAAGTGCAGCACAACATGCGCAGCTGCAGGAGCTTGCCGCATCGATTGGTGGCATCCAGGAGTCTGCAAAGCAGCTGCGATCTGATGTGGACGCTTCAGACACAGAGATTTCGGCGACGGTTCAAGCCATCCGGAAGCAGATCGACAATGTGGAGTCGCTGGAAGCCAGCATGCTGAATGACATCAACGGCCGCATCGAGCACATGGTTTCTGAAAGCGCAGGAGGTCGTGCGGAGTTGCAGGAGCTTGCAGCATCGATTGGTGGCATTCAAGAGTCTGTAAAGCAGCTGGAAAGTGTCGTGGTGCCGCTAGATGCGACGCTGCCGGCGGCAGTTGAGGCCATGAGGGAGCAAATCGTGAATCTGCAGAACGATATCGAAGCCAACAGTGGGAATGACGCCAGTGGTCGCGTCGAGCATGTGGTTTCTGAAAGTGCAGCATGTCGTGCGCAGCTGCAGGAGCTTGCCGCATCGATTGGTGGCATCCAGGAGTCTGTAAAGCAGCTGGAAGGTGTTGTG